AAATAGCATTACCGTTGTTTGCTCCGGGTGTCTAATAACAGAACAAAACACTGCAACACAGTATATGGGGTGCAATGAAACGTGTTGTTCTATAATGTAATATTGTACTCCTTGGGACTCAGCACCGCGATATCCATGGTCATGTAGCACTGACGACATGTTGTGTGTGCTGTGTTTGTGCTTGACAGACCAGACTTGTGCGTGAGCTTGAGAAGAAATTCAGTCGCCACGTTGTCTTCCTGGCTCAGGTGAGTGGTTGTTGTCGTCCTCGATCGATTTGACAGACTTCCAGGCATGGTGGTTTGTTGTCCATCACTTGCACTGCTGCTCAATGAAATGCGATGGCGGGAGTCGAGGTTGCGCCCTGCTCTGGTTCACCATCCCGGTGTCCGTGGCGCTGCACGGCGTCCGACGTGGCGCTGACTCGCTTAATTGGATTTCATTGAGCAGCTCTGCACTTCTTCTGGTTTGCATGGATGTGTCATGATTGGCTATGTAACACACACACACGTTTTACAGGGTGCCCGCTGACAGTTTCTTTATTGTGCTGTTTGAATCCTCCTTGACCTTCTGCCTTTGCAGAGGAGAATCCTGTCCAAGCCTACCCGTCGCTCTCGCCAAAAGCAGCTCCGTCCCCGCAGGTATGGCGTGCCTCCGGTTTCATTATACCGTAGTGTCTTGTATTAAAGCCTGTCTCATACCCTGGTTTTCGCAATACATTGTCGGCACATAAGCCTGGTTTTTGTGTGGACATACATTCAACTATAAAGACACTCGGCGGGTTCATCAGGAAAGTGTCCTTATTCGCGAAGTGTGTGCTGTTTAAGTTCATGGTAGTTGTAGGTCTCTATGGACACGACCCAATGCAGACTTGCTCACTCTGTGGGGTCTGCGGTCATCAAGGGTAAGCCAACGTCTTTTCCCAAGGGTTGTGCTTTTTTCATATGGCCGCTAGATTAACATTGCACTCAATTCCCTGCTCTCCTCCGTCACTGGTGAGGTTTGCAGCTACGTTTGTGCTGACATCATCCGTATACCCGAAGTCTCATTAGATGGGACCTTGGTCTGGGCATGGAAATTCTGTTGTTATTCGCGAATTGTCGTTATATCCGCAGTCGTTATTAGCGAAGTTGACTGTACATAGAAATACCTGTCTTGTATAGAAGCCTGCAACATTTCCCTAAAAGTAATTTCTGTTGTGCATTGCTGCGTGTCGGGCGAATGATGCAAGATGCAGAACTTCGCCTTGCGAGTTGTTTTATGCAGCATAGCCAAGTAGTTGCACACTGTTATTTACATACCCTCGGTACTCTTGGCGTGTAACAGTACTACTTCTGTGTTGCTGGGAACACGTGATGAAGTGTTGTGGACCTAACCCGAGAATGTGATTTGCTGGGGAGTCCAATCGTATGGTACATCCTGTTGGCGTGATATAGTACCTGGTAGGTTGAGTGTTGGCTGATCCTCCTGGTGATGCATACGGTTGTTTGTTGCGTTTATTCTTTATTTCGTGCCCGCTTGCAGTCGTACTCTGACTCACGTCCACGACAGCATCTTGGAGGATCTCGTCTATCCGGCTGAGGTTGTGGGCCGACGCACCCGTGTCAAGCTTGATGGCAGCAACTTGATCAAAGTGTGAGTGACGTGTGTTCCTTGATCAGGTGGTAGGGTGTGTGAGCGTACATGTACATTCGTGTCTTTGTTTGCAATCTTGGAATCTGTTCTGCATGGTTTATTCCGTAGCAGTAATATGATACGTTTGGAGTAGCCGCATTATTCTAGTGATATGGTTGCTATGAATAATATCGCCATTATTACCTGATTAGGCTGGCCGTCTCACGTTAAATAAAGTGGTATAGGGCATGCACACACTTTATGTATTAAGCTGCAAGAACCCTCAACCCTCGTATAGGCAATTCACACGACTTGCAAGCACATGCACGTGTGTGACCAAGGTTAACACCGCCAAACCGTGATCCAGTTCACATGGCGCTGGTCAAACTTTGCACACGTCAATGTATCCAGAGCGGCCTCCTGAAAATGCCGGGAAATTTTAACTTTTCCTTTGTTCAAGCACTGCATTTGCAGTACACACTTTCAATAACCGACACTTCCGCTGGCGTGCAAAGTATAGTCGTGACCACAAGGCCCCCTGCCAAGTTTAAAAGTCAGCTGCACGCCTCTGTCCAAGTTATTGTATGCAAGTAAATATCCTTGGAAACGGTACGATAAAAGTGAGTTTGCACGTCTTGTGAATGGCCTATAACTATTAGAAAGTCTCACTCGATGGCACTGGAATACCACGTGTTCGTGCTGATAGCTGTTTGTGGCGCACTGCTGGGTGCTTGGTTACCTGGGGCGAGCGAGTATTGATGCCACTCTTCTTGTTCTTGCATTCGCAGGCACTTGGACAAGTCTCAACAGACCAACGTAGAGCACAAGGTATGGACTATGATATTGCCACGCTTGTAGCTTTTTGCTATGGGTAGTTTTCTTTGTGTGTATGGTGGGGGGGGGGGGGGTGGCAGCTTATGTGGTTCTTGTCTCTTTCATGGTCCTTGGGAGACCTCGCGAAGTTTGCATTTGGTGATATCATATGTGAGCATCCCTATTAGGCAGTATCGATTGCGACTGTCTATTGGCGAGGCTGAATCTCTCAAATCATGGTGATAATAATTCTACCAAAATGAGCTGTGTGGATTCACAAGAAGTGTGAGTTATGAAGTCTGAAGAGATTGTCGAACGGTCTCTGCTGGGATGACGACTACACCATAGCTCGGTGGTTAGAGCATCGCTGCCTACAAGCGACGGTCCCTGGTTCGAGTCCTGGTGGTGACATTCAATTGTTTCTTCAGACTTTTGCCGTTTGCGTCTTTCCCTCGAACCAGTAAAAATGGGCAAAGGCATGATTATCTGCGAAATGCACTAGGACTTCGCCAGAAGACTTTGACTGCACTTTGCTGTCAGTTTGTGCATTATAATTTTCATCTTGCTTGTTGTAGCACTAAGTATTTCGTTTCCTTTTTTGTGCTTTCGTGTGCAGCTCGATACTTTCATCACCGTCTACAAGAGGCTGACAGGAAAGGATGTCACATTTGAATTCCCCACCCAGGAATAGATGTGTAATTTTTGAATTTAAAAATACTAAAAACAGACCAATTCCGTAGCTCTGGTGTTATATGAGTTAATCCATTCATTGGTTCATAGCTGACGCAGGCCTGGCCTTAGAGAAAGTCCTTCATGTTTGTTGTTGAATGAAATCAACCAGGGACGATCGTTTCTCAGTATACAGTGCAGTAGAGCCGCGCGTCGAAGAACGCGGAGGCCAAGAACACCACAGCCCATCAGCCAACGTTGGTGTTGTGGTAGCTTCTGTGCTACATTATAGTACATATGTATGTAGTGTGCATACGATCCAGTATGAATTGTTTCAAAGAACTTGCTAACCTCGGGAAGCGATTTTCTTGGACGCACAACTGCCGTTGAGTCGCCTGTCCGAGAACGTTGTTCCAAGGGGTTAGCCTGGAACGTTCTTACTTCTTTCCTTCAGAAATCTCACTGCGTTCTTTAATATAGCACTTGGGCTCCCTGTTCTTCGACGCACGACTACTGTAGCTCATGACATCTAAAGGCCGATTCATACTTCATTTTGCGTACGAGAAACACGTTGCGTCGCGAATAAAGTTCATGTGAGCGAAATGAAGTATGAATCGGCCTTAGGGGCCGTCCAAGGTTACCAATAATATTTTCAAAACGAAAAGTTTTCGTTTGGGGGTGGGTGGGTTTGAAGGAGTTTCGTTTTGAAAATAATTATTGAATGCAGATGGAGAATGCCCTGTTACTTCTGGGTATCGAAAATTGACATCAATATTTTATTGGAATTCGTTTTACCTGCAGAAAAGGTAGGTGGGTGGGTCGGTGCTGAAAAATACTAAAACCTTTCGTTTTGCAAAAACTATCGGTAACCCCGGACGGCCCCTTAGCTAGGGGAAGTATACCCTAAAATCAAATTTTCACCAGTTGTAGTCTTCGGGGTGCTGAGTCTAATGGTCTTGGTCCGAGGACGCTGAGACGCTCCCTTCCTCCTTTATTCCCAATCGAACTCGCGCACTTCCACCGAAATTGGGTGACTGTGCCCTACTAGATAGGGATTTGTATGGAAAAAGTCACAAAAACGCCATTTCGTTCTTATAAAAGCGCGGATGACTGCGATCGGTCCATATGTTGTAGTCTTTTGGCCGCTGAGTCGACTGGTTTTGGTCCGAAAAGGCTGCGATGCAGTGTTCGGTTCTTATTCCCAATCGAACACGGTTGAGTAAGCGGTCACGTGCTCATTTTCAGCCATTTTGGGCCCGTTTGTGTCACTCGAACATCCCGCGAATATATATTATGTTATTGAGTTGAACCTTTGAACCAGGGAGTCGGAAAAGCCTCTTACGACTCCCTGCTTTGAACCTTTGAGTTTAACCTTGATGTGAAAATTGTAGCCTGCAGGCACGGTGACCAGGCGACTGGTGTACGCATGACCGCAAAATACAGAGCTTGATCACTTCCCCTCAAGCTCAGGGTCAGCATCGGGGAGTATGTTTTCTTACAAGTAGTACTCCTTGGTCAGCATTCTATGGCGAAACGATCGTCGTGTGATACTACACTGTCCCTTTGGAAAAACGCGGCCAATAATTCAATATTCCGCGGCAAATTCCGCGGGGAAAAGGGAGGTTTTCTGCGGCATTTTCTGTGGTAAAATCAAAAATCTGCGGCACTTTCTGCAAGTTTTTCACCCTCCTTGCATGAAGGAGTACTTTTCACACTAAAGTTTGCAGTCACAAACTGAATGAGAGTGAAGAATCTTGGAGATTTTGCACTCACCTACACTCGCAAGAGCATAATGTGCTCAAACAGATTGCAAAGTAGTTTTTCTGCTGTTTTCTGAGTAGTAATGTTACTAATTTATCCTAAAAAATTCAAAATCCGCATGCAATACGAGAGCGTAGTGTGGATTCCGTGATTTCCGCGGATGATGGCAATTTCTGCGAAATTTGCCGCGGCCGCGGAATCGCGTTTTTCCAAGGGGACAGACTACAGTCCATTTCAAAACTATAGACGCGTACCTAGGCAAAAACCGTTATGCCAGCATCTATACCACATAAAATCTGTGATCACTTTGTGCATAAATTTTTCCAAATTGGGCGTCTGTTATCCAATCCTTTAGAAACTATATGAGAGTAATTGTGGAGCGATCCTGAGCAATATTCCGAAAACTATTCTCAAAAAGTTCCAGCCAAATTTGAAATATTTCAAAAACCCTACGCGTCTATAGTTTTGAAATGCACTGTATACAGGAAAACCAAGAGTAAATAAGCTCCCTGGGAGCTTACCGCGTATTATCAAGAGTACATAAACCATATATGTACTCTTGGTATTATACTCTTGATAAAATCTCCACCCACTGTATGTATATTCGGTGTTGCGGACAGTGCTCGGTCCCAACCTGCCCTTATTTGGGGGAGTTTTACTGTACAGGTGTGGCGCATGGCATGGCACTCTTAGTAATTATTAATAATCATGTCCTGTTATCAAGAAGGTACACCTCCTGATCCGTCCTCTTGGTCCTAGCAAGAATACATTTGAAACAATTTCTTACTTGTACTGTCCTGTATGACGATTGCCTTCTGAGCACGGTCGCATACCAAGTTAGTAAATGTATGACCGGCGATCATGCGAACGACAACGAGTGCAGGCTTTTGGCTTCCCTGGCTGTTCATCACCGTCTTCCACCAGAGCAGAAAAGCAAACAGTGTCTATGTAGTAATACATTAGTAGGTAGATTAGTGAGAACCAACACCGGAAAAGGAGAGTGATGACTCTCACACGTAATATTATTACAGTAAAGCCTGTAACTAAAGACCACTGTGACTAGCGACCAGCCTGGTACTACAGGCCACTTCACCAGGCACGGACGGTCTCACATTCGTATAAGGTTGTGCGGTGCAAACCTCTAACTAAGGACCACCTGCCACTAAAGACCGCTTTCTCTGGCACCAAGGGGTGGTCGTTAGTCATAGGTTTTACTAGAATACTGAGTAGAACCATGATAGAAAATCCTAACCGGTAATACGGTGCCGTATGAAGAGGTGTCATCAGCGTGTTCCTCACCGTGATAACAATACTCCGGGACGACAAATTTGAGTTTACTGAACTAACTATACCTGCCCCTGCCAACCATCCCTAGTATTTGGCCGGGACCGTCCCGATATCGGCAAAAGTATGATGAATATTTTTAATAATCCAACAGGCCCGATAGTCACATGTAGAAAGGTCACGGTATTTGTCGCATGCCTCACAGCTAGTATACCTAGGTGTGATTGTATGCCATTGTCCCACTCTCAGGTTTGCAAAGCCTTGGCAGGTATGACTCGTAACGATGTGTGAATGTCGTGTATACTCACAGCCGCACACATTTGAGGCTCTTGAGGAGGACTCAGCGCACACATCATTGCGGCTTCCGCATTGTTCACGGTCACATTCCGATATCACGCTCGGTTCACACCTCTTCACACATGCATGCAGATCTACATGGCACTCAATGCCTGGCTGTAGGGTTTGTTATCACTTGACAGTGTTTTCTCAGTGTTGGTCACTCGAGTCTAGTTTTTTCTTCTGCCTATATCCACCTGAAGAGACTGAGGTAATGAAGTGCTTGAGGACATTTTGAAAATGTTGACATCTCTCCTTTTTCCTTTTCCACCTGGACTCCTCCTTGGTTTCCCTTTTTTCTCGGGGCTTTGAATAAATCATGTGGTAACAGCTTGTGTGAATAGTCTCCGGCTGATGATGACTAGTACATGAGGGGATGTGCATGATGATGTTTTTTGGTCATGTGTGGCTTGAGGCTCCATTATCCAAACCCCATGATGGCATGGAGCTAGACGGTCCTTCGCTGCGCAGAATTATCGGATGTGGATAACCGGCACTCTACACCACGTCACGGACGGTGCCGTGCCGCCGGCATAGAATATTGAGAACTTCAATCATCATGATCTTTGTACCGTCAGACCTTGCTTATCCGGTCCTCTTTTATCCGGCGGATCCTTCACGATCCGGAAGAAAATCGTTGCCGGTTACCGATTTACAGCATTTGAGACTATGTCATGCATACACTGGTACAAAATGATTATGTGTGTTTGATTATCCGGTTCCCTCGCCTATCCGGATATTCAGTTTTGTGGAAAACGGATGTGTGCGGTTAATGACTGTAGTCTGCAGAATTGACGGTACGGAGACTACAAATATTTCATTTCATAATATCAGTTATCATGCATGGTTATGAAGTACAATGTAGTCCAGAGTTGTGAGTCCAGTCCGCCAGCACTGCAGCAGTCCCGGGTGCTGAGAAATGAGATGGCGTACGACCAGTTCGGAGTCTCGGACTACCAGTACAATCATGATCGTACTAATCCCTACATGACCCCATTCTTGGCACTAGTGTACCAAGACTGTTCAAGTAACAGTTGGCAGGAGGGAGCTTACTTTCATTTTCAGTGTGGTCCATCCTGGGTCATCCTAATAAAGATACTTATTATCCAGGGAACATGATTCAGGTCCTCTTGAATATGATACAAAACAAGGACTTGGCACGTGAATGGCACATACATAACGTACCGCGCACGTGCACGACTGCACGTGATCACCGTCACCACGTGCATGACCGGAAGGCATGCCATGCATGACGCGCAAAAATACGAAAGTTTGAATTACAATTCATTGTATTTGTTTCTCTCCTTCCGCGATCCGTACGTCACCTAGGCCCTGGCCCCAGCTTACATTCTGTATTTTCGTGACACGACGCCATCACCATGTTTGTTGACGCTCAGTGTTCTCAGCGATTGGCCTGCTGACGATGCTCATTTATAAGGAAGTTCTAAGGAGGTTGTAGCGTCGCGCACGTCGGCAGGATGATTCCTGATATTTCGCAATCGAGTTCGTCTGCAGAATTGTGAGTAAATCAATGTTTTACGATGCCTTTTCTGAATTCAACATTTGATCAGCTACCATTAGCTGTTCTTCACCAGTAAATATAGGCGCGATTGGACAAATACGTAGGAGAGATAGTAGTTGTTGGGCGGAAGCAGGCTTCCTGTTCGGAATCGAATGTTCGAAATACCACTCATCCAACATTCCTCAAAAAATTATTGTAGCATTAAATAGTGCGGTCTAAGAACTGTGGATGTACGTTGTGTGTTGAAATACTTGTACAGTAAATCAGGGCACAGTTTTATAAGGCCCGACCTAAAGAAGTCCTTCGTTTCTGGTAACATGATGCCTTGATGGTGTTCAGTAGATGCAGACATCAAAAGTTGGCATATGAAATGTTTGAAATGACCAGCCATTATGATTTACACTGTATGGCAGTGTAGCGTTACCCCTAACAGAAACAAATAGATGCAGTGTGGTCTATTAGTATCAGGGCTGAAACGAACCCCAATAGAGGAAACATTCTGACGAACTATGCCCTTCGCTTGCGAACTATTCTTAGCAAATAAAACCCCCACACATGTCCACACAAGCACTACATCACATTCGTAAAACTACCAAGAACTGGACAATCTGCAATCAGTTTCTTTTTTTTGAATAGCTGCTGTTACCTGTAATGGGGAGCTGGGGCCGAGGATGGCTGGCTGAGCTCTGCACTCTATTAGTGTACAGTGAAATCTGTCTAAGGCGACCGCTCAAGGGACATTCAAAACGTGGTCTCTGTTACCAGGTGGTCTCCTTGTCCAGGGTGATTTTACTGGAAATAGCATCTCTTGGTCCTGGCTGCAGTGGTCTTCTGGGGCAGGTAGTCGCCTTATCCGAGTGGTTGCCTTGACAGGTTTTCCTGTACATTGTTATCTGCAGTCAAGTATGGAACTGCATGTACCTACGCATGCATTGACGAACGCTGGACACCTTTAAGTAGCGAATCGAATGCTCTCCAACTTCCTTTTTTTTTTAGCAAACCTAGTCGAATGTTCTAAAATTCTTTTCACCCCTAATTAATATTCTTGAAGGTGGGCAGCGTCGTTGGATCGGAAATGTTCGTGTGCTTTTTAATAGTGTTTCCGCGAGAACCGCCTTCCGCCGGTGCGCCTGCATTTTAGTGTTGTGAATGGGAGGCTTCCACAAGTGTGTGCATGCGGCACTCTGTCATAGTGTCCAGTCTCTTGGGGGGTGGATATTGAGATTCCACGAAGTCTGTGAACAAATTCAGCCGCAAAACAAAATGCAAAGTTTCACAGTCCAGTAAAACCTGTAACTAACGGCCACCCCTTGGGGCCAGAGAAAGCGGTCTTTAGTGGCAGGTGGTCCTTAGTTAGAGGTTTACACCGCACAACCATTATATGAATGTGAGACCGTCTGTGCCTGACGAAGTGGTCTGTATTACCAGGCTGGTTGCTAGTCACGGTGGTCTTTAGTTACAGGTTTCACAGTGCTTCAGTGCTGCTCAATGAAATCCGATCAAGTGACTCGAGTACGCGCCTTTGCTGTAGTGCAGCCCTCGATCCTCATACTTGCCAACCCTACCGGAATTTCCGGAAAAATCAAGGAAAACTCTCTTTCGTCCCGGTATACTGTAAATATACAAAATTTCGGCACTTCACGATTTTTGACATTTCGGCGGCGATTTATTTTCGGCGTGGGGTAGAGGGCATGGTATAGTGCGACAGATGCTGTGAAAAATTTCATCGGCGTTTTAATTTAGGCGTTTTGGGTCGGTGCCGAATATAGCCAAAATTAAATAGCTGCCGAAAATTTGTATATTTACAGTACCGGAAAAGTTATAACATCTACCAGATTTTCGAAAATGTCCGTCAACACCTTTTTTGTTGATTTTCAGTGCTTCGGACGCTCGCTCGCAGTGCTGTGCCCAAAACGAAGGTCTTGCGAGCGAGAACTTTTGAGTTGGCGCATGAAAAAGTACTTTTTTGTCGTCCATGCTGTACTATTTGCGAATGTTTTGTGGTCATGGTGACGTCACTATGATGTCATAATATTTTGCGCAATTATGATGTAAAAATTGCAGATCAAGGAAAAATTGGCAAAATCAGCGTCAAGGAAACTGTTTGCCAGGGGTTGGCAAGTATGGATCCTGTGAACAATGGAATGCGAACTGGTACAGGGCGCAAACTCGACACACACACACACACAATCATATTTCATCAAGCAGTACCGCAGTACTATGCAGTAAGAAGAGGTTATGCATCCTAAATTTTCGGAAAGAGTATTGGTGTACACATACCGTGCAGTGCTTTATGTGGGGCAGACACCCTGTCGTCAGATGTGGATGGGTGAAGCGTCCCCCCCCCCCTCCCCCTCCCGTTTTTCTTCCTTCAGCGCATTCATGGCTGATACCTCTTCCGGCTTGGATGCAGTGGAAACCTTCTGAGATTCCATGGTCGAACTGGTAGGTGATTGAGGATAGTACCCAGTGTCGGTGGTTTCATCAGTTTCTTGAGAGTGGAGTCACCCACACTGGCTGCCTCTGATTGCTCAGCCTCAGTCACAGCGGATGGTGATGTTGTAGGTGTTGATTGCTTTGAGGATGTGGACCTGGTGTTCCTTGGGATCTCCACGCCTGGTTGTCTCAGTGTTGCTGCTGCTATCCGTTTCCGTTTCTCTTGTCCAACAGCTCTGTGCGTCAAAGCCAACTGCTGCTCGTAAGAATTTTGAGCTTGCTTCTATACATACTGTAACCCTTGCTTCTCAAGGGTGCAGATCACCTTCTCCAGCTCCACACCAAATGTGCTGTCGACTTGGGACATGAAGCTGCTCTTGCCTGTACGGCCCAGCCCGCACATTATAAGCCCTCCGTATGGTATCAGCTGAATGCCTTCCTTCATCAGTTCACTTGGGGCTGCTGTGTACAGTCCATTATCAGCTGCATAATACAAATACTCCAGAACAAAGCACAGTACATGTGCTGTAGATATGAGGAAGAAGTCGCGGCAGGCAATGAGAAGGAAATGTTCAGAGTGAATTGGGTCTAGTTAGCCGACAACATCAGGAATAAGACCGTTTCAGCGCGGGAATTGCAAAGTGACCTGTTCAGCGAAATCATTTGAGCACGAGCATTTCTGCACGAGCATTTCAGGGCAATATAACTGACCGCTGTGCATTTGAGCACATTTTCCCCGAGATAAGGGTGATATTGGCTCTCTGTGCACAACATATTTGCACGCCACGTACCTGCAGTCATGTGCCATGTGCCGGTCTGCGTACGAAGCACCTTAGCACCTCTTATCCTAGCGCTGTTCAAGTCAAGTCATCTGCCATTTGGGCACCTCACCTGAAATCACATGCTCTGAGACGTTTCACAGACATTGCACTGTGCGTTCCTCCCTTTCACGCTGCCATTGCATTCCGCTCTGGTTCATCACATTGTTCGCCAACTTTGCGGTGGTTTGCATCGTTGCCAGCCAAGAAACGGCAAGCGTCCAAGTGCTGGCCGGCTAGTATTTCCCATCCTATCTACACTAGCTGTTTCTCAGTTCTGGTCTCAACTAAAGCCACAGGTCTAGGCACCAGACTAACTTTCTCTGATTCTCACAGGGTCCTAAAATCTGTACGACCAAGGACCAAAGAGAGTTCAGCCCTGAGAGGGGAGCCTGAGGCACCTGCCACGGGAAGTTTTTTTCACTCCTTAAATGCTTCGGTTTGAATCTGGGCGCGGCCAGAACATGTTTCGATACCTCATGTTTGATATTGAATGGAGGAGTGGTTCAGAGGTGTGGCTCAGAGGAGTGAGTCAGTGACTTGTTGCGTCCTTTGTGTCATCCCGGTGCTTATTCTATGGAGATCTGAATCAAAATGAACTCTGCTTTTATCACCATTTTCGACTTGTGTGCATTTTTTTACTTTAAGTGCCTCGTTGGAAAAGTCGTTTTTCACGGCATTGGAACCCTAGCGTTGTGCTGCTGTAACTGGAAGTACTATGCACGGCATGTGATCAAGCATTTGAGCTTCACGAGCATAGTAGCTTTTCGCAACAGGTATTTATGTGGTGTTGTGCTGTGCTGTCGGTGTTCTCCAGGCCCCAGCTTGACTGGCGATTCGTGAAGCAAGTATGGCGAGTGACGAAAATAGCGTTTGTCAGTCACAAACAACAAGCGACCCTCCTGGCATTGGCGATGCTTGTCACAGCGATCGGTGGTAGGTGATTTTATCGTATTCTTGATGAAGAGATGAGACTTTTGGTACTTGATTAAACCACAATGATTCCCCTGGTAAAAAATGAATAGAGCATGTGGTAGTCACTGCTTTCGTGTTTTGGGCTGCCTACTGCCCTTCTGTGTGTGTGTGTGTGTGTGTGTGCGCGCGCGCGCGCGCGTGTGTGTGTGTGTGTCTTGTGAACCCTCTGATGCTCGTAAGTGTCAGGAACGAACGACCACACGGCACGAGGACAACTACTTCTTCTTAACGGTATATTTGACTTCGATCAAATATAATAACTAGGTCTAAGA